GCCAGGGTCTCACTATGTAGTTGAGACTGACCTGGACCTGGAACTCACTGTGTAACCCAGGCTGGTCTCGAACTCACAGCGATCCTCCTGCCTCAGCCTCCCAAGTGCTGGGATTACAGGCGTGAGCCACCACACCCAGCCTAAATATTCTTAATTTAGTTATATTGTTGAAAACTTGAAGGATGGTTTGACTTTGTCTTTCAACAGGAACATAATTTAATTACACACCTAGATAATTTCAGTCCCTGTCTGAGTGTGCAAATATAGAAGAAAAGAAAAATAGTGTATAGTAGAATAAGTAGTTTTTTCAGTCATTATATTTATATTTTACATATCTAGCATATATGTAAGTCCTATTCTGTATAAATGATCTTAAGCGATACTTAACCTTAGAAGTATTATTTCATCCTCATATTTCAAAATTAACCTGTTATTTCCAAATTATTTAGGGACATTAAATTTTACTTTGGATCAGGATCTTGGGTTCTTTTGGAAGCCCAGATCACGTAGAATTATTTAGAAGAAATATTTTATTTTTACATTAAATTCATGTTATTCTAGGTTAATAGAATTCCCCCTCTCCCCCCAGTGCTAGAAATTGAACTCAGAACTTTGCACTTGCCAGGCAGGCACAGCGTCACTGAGCTACATCCCCAGGCCTAACATTAAATTAATCCTGGAATCTCATGCTTAGATTTGTTATCTTTTTTGGAAGTCTTTTCAAATTGGCTTCCTGTCCCTTTGCCGGGACTCTAATAATTTTCATAGCTTCCTTGCTTTCTTGTATTATACATTTCAGGTTCTTCTTACACAATTTCTGCCTCTGGAATCACCCTACTTCAAGGCGGTCTTGGTTCCTTTTATGGAGAGCAGACCTTAGAGAACATAGTTGTTCTAGGGATGAGTAGCACTACCTTCAAATTGGTCACTGTTAGTTGTTGTGGGATATTTTTTCCTTTTAAAAATGTTACTATCAGGCTGGGGATTTAACTCGGTGGTTCCTCTGCCTACCTCGCAAGTGCAAGGACCTGAGTTCGATCCCCGGTACCCCAAAAGAATTAAAAATGTTAATATTGCTTTATTAAAAATTTTAGAATACATTATACAAACGAGATTGTGAGCATAAGGTCTGCACCTAGAAGTAGAATTGTGCTGATGCAAAGTGATTTTGTGATCAGCGGTAGTTGTCAAGAGTTTCCATAACCATCACTGTAATGCTTGATATGGACATGTTTTTAATTTTTGTTGGCCTTATAGGTGTAAAGTGATACTCCATGAGGTTTTATTGGCCATTTTCCTGATGTATATAATAAAATTGAGCATATTTTCATGTTTATTCATTTGTCTTTTGTGAAGGACAGTGGTACTTGTGAAGTGGTCCTTGGTTCATGAACACTTTTTTTGTGAACAATTTGGTTCACAAACAGAAGTGTTTGGCAAAATTTTGGTTTTGTTTGTGAAGTCCGCATTGGGTGACAAACCAACTGTGGCCATCTTTCCCACGTGAACACGAACCTGGCATCTTTGCAAGAATCATAGAGTGGATTAAGTTCATGAAGCAAGGTACCACTATACTAATTTAGATCTGTAGGTTTTTTCTTTTCTCTTTCTTTTCTTTTTTGGTTTTTTTTTTCTTAGTTCATCAGAGGAGTTTATCATACATTTTGGATACTAAATCTTTTTATTTGTATGCTTGTTACAAGATATCTTCTCCCAATTTATTTTTCTCAATATCAAAGGTATCCCTTGAGTAAAATTTATTAAAGGTTAACATAGTGTTATGGTTTGAATCTAGATTCTTCCCCCAAAAGCCTCATGCAGTCATGGGTGGGGCTTTTTGGAGCTGGCTGGATCTTGGGTGTGTGATAATGGGATGATGCTGGGATTAAGGATGTGTCCCGCACTGGGTGTGAGTGTTACCTGCCCAGAGGGCGGGTATCCTGGATAGAGAATGAGGGACAGAAAGAAGGCTGCCTGCAGCTGGTGTTTGCTGCTCATCGCTGCCTTCTGCCTGTCCCGCCAAGCCATGGCCTGTTGCTGCTCCGCAATGCCCCTCCACCACGCCACCCTGCCTTGGAGCCAGCTGATTTAGGGCTGAAACCTCTAGGAACTGTGAACCAAAAGAAACCTTTCTTCCTTTAAGTTTGGGTGTCAGGTATTTTGTCTCAGCAATGAGAAAAGTAGCTAAAACAGATTTATTGATTTTTTATCTTTATACTTTGTGCATTTTGTGTGTGCATGTAAGAGTTTCTAGCATAAGGTATATATCTTTCTGTGCCCCAAGGTTTATATATATTCTCATATATATTCATATATATTCTTTTTTCCCTCCAAAGGTTTTAAAGTTTACTTTTCATTTTGAACTCTGATTCATCTTAAATATGATTTTTGTATATATTGTAAAGAAATTATGAGTATCATACATTCTGCGTGGTTATTAAATAGGCATTGTTCTCTTATTCCATTTAAAATCAAGCTTGCAAGCAGAAGTCTCCGGCAACAGATTAAACCAGCAGTGACTTTGAAGCTACACCTTAATCACAGTGGAGATCACAACACCAAAGTTCTGCAGACAGACCCAGCCACCCTGCTTCACTTAGTTCAGCAGCTGGAGCAAGCACTGGAGGAGATGAAAACAAACCACTGTCGGAGAGTAGTCCGCAACATCAAGTAGTACCTGTTTTAAGATTTTAGTTCTTTTTTGTTTTTGTTTTTGTTTTTTGAGACAGGGTCCCACTATGTAGGTGAGACTGACCTGGAACTCACTATGTAACCCAGGCCGGTTTTGAACTCACAGCGATCCTCCTTCCTCAGCCTCCTGAGTACTGGGATTACAGGCATGCACCACCATGCCCGGCAAGATTTTAATTCTTTAAGTCATTTGTGAATTGGTGATACACAGGAATTACTTTTCAAAATTATTTTTTTGTTAATTGATGATGATAAGTATCTAGATTCCAAGAAATTTCTTTTCCTATTCCAGGATGTTGAAGTCATGATCAGAAGCTAAAGTACAGTTTCTTCCCTGGTGCTAAAGGTGCTAAATGTGGTTAGCTTCTTGACAGATTGAAATGTACTGTGCATTTTAAATGTATGAGTAGGATTGAAGTAGCTAGAAATGAATCTATACTCTTCATATCTTGTGCATGTATGAATGACTATCCTGTTTTTGCTACTTCTTTGTTTTCTTTATTATTTTTCTCCTTATCGATCAAACTTTGAAAATAAAATTTACAGTATAACACTATTCAGAATATTTTCAGACAACTTTTTTGACTTTAAAAAGCACCCCAAATGTTAAAAGCCACAGAATAAAGTAAATATGCTTTTTATGATAATATCCCTGTTATAGTCAGTTGTGCAATTTTTCTTCATGCTATGCTGATATGTAGAGTATTTCCCATATTGCTAGGTTTGAGTTGTCATGGTTAATTGGTTTAAATAGTACTTAAATCTGTGTGATCATATATTTTATCAAGGACTAATTTTCTCCCTCTTGCCCAAAGCAACTAAGAAAAATCCTATCTCATTTGTATTTGTAAATAGTGCATATAGAGTAATATAATTATTGATTACCTGGATATGAATTTTAGTGACTTTTTATAATTTTATTTGAAATATAATAGTAGGGGAAGAAAGCAATGTTTATTACATTATAAAAAAATACCCCTTTTGGATTATGTTTGATTTTTATTTTGTTGTGCTTTTAATTAGGTAAGTAAAAGCTATTGGCTTAAAAACTGACAAACTAATTTTTCAGGTCAGCCTGAGAGAGTACAAAAAGTCAATGTTAGATTTAGGGAAATTAATTATACGGAAGGGTAGAAATGGGGATTTCGTCTTACCCTTGTATCCAGGGCCTTATCCTGGGGTTTTTATTCCTAGGGAACAGCCCAGGAAGGCCTTTAGAACTTTCAGACTCTTCAGTTGTACTCCTGGCTCTGCCACCACTTTGCCTCTCAAACATTTCGGAGGTCTTCTTTGGGACATGCTGGGACATTCCTGTAATGCAGCACTCTGGGAGGTTAAGACAGGAGGATCACAGATGGGAGCCCGGCAGGGACAATTGATCAACTTAGCAAGACTGTCCAAAATAAAAAAAGAACTGGGGATGTAGCTTAGTATGGAGGCCCTGCGTTCAATCCCCAGTACTGCCTCCTCCCCCAAAAAGTGATTTTTAAAGTCAGAGTGACATCATAATGTCTTTGTTTATAGAGAACAGAGAAACTAACAGGGAACAAAGGCCAGTGGCAGAAAAGTATTCTGGAAATTTCTATGGATTATTCCCTGCAGATATCTGGGACACCCTTTTCCTAACGGTGTATGTTCTACAGTTACAAAGCAACTGCGTTATTATATATTAGCAAACTATAATCAGTTTTTTAATTTATAGTGACCATTAACTAATGGAGTGCTTATATTGACAACCTCAAAAAAAAAAAAAAAAAAGGAACTTTATGTTTTACATGAATCGGCATGTCACTGGAGTGCAACATGCCTGCCAAGGTTATATGATTAAAATAGCTCTGTAAAGTTTCTTTTTTTTGGTACCAGGGATCGAACTCGGGACTTTGTGCTTGCAAGGCAGGCAGCAGCACCACTGAGCTGAATCCCCAGCTCTGTAATGTTTCTTATCTTTGCACATTGGAAGGAAAATAAATAAGACTGGCCCCACCAAGACTGAAATAATAGCCAACCTTTTTCCACCTCTATCCATTCTGAGCCCAATCAAAAGAAGAAAGTATATTAGTCTCATTCACAGTATTTATTTGACCCAAACTTCCTGACCTCCTTTCATTGTGGTCTACTTCTGTGATGTTTTTGCCTCTTCACCTTTTGTTGCAGAGGGTAAATTGAGAGCAGTCTTCCTACTTTTATAATCTGAGACTCTTTAGTAAAGGCCACCAAATGAGCCCCTTTCATTTCTTGTTCAAACTTTTCACGCCTTATGGACTCCTCTGCCTTGGGTTTTATGGCATATTTGATATTTTTCTAGCTTGTATATAAGTACAATTTTCTACAGACAGTCACTGTTCTCCTGGCTAGTGTGTCCTGACTAGATAATATGTCTTTACATCTATATCTAAATTTTTATTACAGTTTCTGGATTATGAGTACACCGATTTTTCAAGATTGGTTGATGTACAATGAGATTTGAGAATCATATCCTTCATGTCTCAAAGGCAAACTAGTAACATCTCAGAACAGAGCTGTGAGCACACACTGTTATATGTATCAGAGTTTACATGTACTTTGCTCTTTGGGACGCTAAGTGTTTCAAAGAATTTCAACAAACTTATTTTGTTATTGATGTTTTCAGTTAATAGGAAGATCGATAACATTGCCAAAAGAAGATGAAGTATCTTCTTTGAGAACGGGAAACAGTCTAGTACTAAGGAAAGTTTGAGGAACTATTAAGAGGGTCTGTAAAGGATGCACAGATGAGAGCCTTTAAAGTGTGTGACCTTAAACAGAATAATTTGGTGAAGCAGTTAAGAGGTCAGTCTTGGGAACTGGAGCGAAAGATTTGAATTTAGACTATATAGTGTCGAATGTGTCCTTGATGCATTGTCAAGTCCTTGATTTCTTCATCTCTGAAAGAAGAATTTAAGATCACCTACGATGAATTTATAAGGATTAACTTATAAGGATTAACTAGAACATTGTACATAGAATGTTCAGCTTCTGTTTTAGTCAGCAGGATTGGGCAAGGGAATACATTAAATACAAGACACATAACTTATAAGATTATTTTATGATAATTACCCAGAGAGTCAATGCAAAGGAGTGCAAGAGATTAACCACACACTAGAAGCCCAAAACATTCAACTGAGGGTCTAGACCCAGCAGTTTCCCACACAAGTCCAGCTAACGGCTTAGAATCCAAGACAATGTCCTCCTTGAGTCCAGCCAGTGGCCTAGAGCCCACAGCATTGTCTCATGCTTGTCTGTATTGAGGCTCTGCACCTGGAAAGCCCAAAGGCCAGTGGTGGAAGCCAGAAAATCTACTCTGGCAAGATGAAGGATTTGTGCCCCAAAGCCGAGGGATCCACAATGAAGCCAGGAAGTGATGCTCACGGTAAAGATCAGAGTTCCCTGATAAAAGCAGCAGCCATTCCCAGCAACAGCGAGATCCCGCTCCTCCTCTGACTAGAACAGCCTAGTTGGCATCAGGAAAACCATCCACGGCAGGCTTCTCCCAGAAGGTCAACAGACCAAGATCTTCCCCTCCAGTTTTGTTTTTATTTTGTTTTGGCGGGTATCAGGGATCGAACTCAGAATCTTGCAGTTGTGAGAGAGGCAGTGGTACCACTGAGCTAAATCCCTTTCCTTCCAGTTCTCTTTTTATGGCTATTGGTGTATTGGTAACAATCTTCAGATGGATCCTCCATGCCCAGACCACACTGATTCAGTTCAGCTGGGCATTACAAGTTGACCATTAGTCAAGCCGCCACAGCCTCCAAAAGTAATCAGTAAGTGTTGGACATTACTGAAATTGTTGTGTGCACAGAGGATCTCATTTTAGAGCCTTGTATTATGTCCAGTATACTCTGTATAAAATAGGAGGCAATGTTAACTGGGGTTGTTTCTGGATGATAAAATGATGGGTATATCTTTCATTTTAATTTCTGTAATGAATCTGAATAGTTTATCATATTTAGGAAGGAGAAATAAGGTCAGGGAATTTAAATAATTTTAATATAATATATTCTCCTCAAATTTTAACTGTTGGAGTTCCAGCTCACCAAAAAGCTCAGCTATTCAAAACTATTTAAAAACTCACATTACCGGGTCAGGGATTTAGCTCAGTGGTTTTGCTGTCTGCCTCCTAAGCGCAAGGTCCCGAGTTTGATCTCTAGTACGAAAAAAGGAAGAAAAAACTCAAATTACTCAGGTAAACAGGCTGAAGGTTTTATATACAGTTGCTCTAGAGTCCCACTTTGCATTTTTTCCATCTTAGTTAAAGAAGTATGGGAATCGCACACCTTTATCTAACCCAGTTTGGTTTTTCTAGGTAAATACTACATCTAAGCATGAAATTACCTGTTATTTTTAATCACCAAAGAAAAACTTGCAACGCTACTGCTTTGTATTTTCTCACAGCTGTTTCAGCTGTTGTATTAATGACCTATAATTTATTCACTTTTCTTTGTATTTATTTTTTTAATATGTATGTGATTAAGTCCCTCGTTAGCTTACTCTTCTAGAATTCCCATAATCATGAAGTTATTTTTGTTCCTTTCCTTCCACAAACTAGAAAATATCTCAGTAAAAAGAATATCCATACTATATATTTCTTCTATCTTAAATATGTTCACTTTTAAGACCACCATGACTATTAAGTTCAGGCTAAAATAGTCTCAGAACAAAACAGATAAGCCCAACTCCACCATGAATGAGATTAGTTCAGTGAAGTTTGAAAACTTTGAAAGTAATATTTTGTTGAGAAAAGCAGAGTAAACCCATTATTTTTAAGCTTTGCAAGACACTGTGGAAATGAAAAAATGATAAAAATATATTTAATTATGGCACTAAAATATATATTTAATTACTTGATTACTAAATCTTAATGGATTTTAATGTTTTTAGAGCTTTTTGCCAAGGAATTCAAACAACTTAGGTATGCTTGATGGTGATAAGTCTGTAAGATTCTATGTAAATTAAAGAGGAAATAAAGAAAAGTATTATTTCCTTAATGAGCTTAAAGTAAAAAGGAACAGCAGGAATACAGATATCTACATTAATGTAC